TATGTCGTCAAATTATTAATTTCTACTTAATTTGGGTTAATTTTCTTTTATTTTTAGTTATGGACTCGTCTCCAAGCAATTGGAAAGGAAGAAGGACAAAATCGAATGAAATCTACAATTTTGGAGATCAAATTTCATACTTGGAAAACTGGAGGACTTGCATTGAATCAAAGAATACATGGGTTGCAAGAATTTAGTGGACTCAAGGATTGAATTGCATTAAGTTAAAAGATTTGAGGGCTTGAAGAATATAATACATTAAATGGGCTTTTCTTTTGGACTTTGAATTGGAATCAAATGCAATTGTCCTCTAATTGGACTCCGATCAAACGAGATAAAAAATTCAGAGAGACGAAGACACAATTTGAGATAGAAATTAAGATACACATTTGCGGCGAAAGGACACAGCGGCTACTGTTGCTGAGTTATATCATATAACTCATATTCACACATAGAAGAAACTAAAAAGAAGAGGAAGACACGGCTGCTGGAAATTATATTATCTACATACATAGGAGGAAAACAGGGAGAAAAACTTATATTTAAAGGCTGAGTATATTATATATACATATATTCATAGTGGGTAGCAACTTTCGGAGGAAGGAGAGAGAGCACAACTTGGGCTGCATTATAATGCATATACTCACAGTAGAAAATTGTGGGTGTAATTGAATATCAACAAGAAAATTAGAAAAGGAAGAGAGGAAAAAAAAGGAATTGCGAAGGGACATGGCAATTTCACGTTTCGTCAAATCTTGGTGATGTCATTCCTCTTTTGCATATTTTATTTTTAAATTATGCGTAGCTAAATTATTTTTAGGGCAACCAATGAAACCTAATTGAGATCCTTTATTTCATTAATTTGAGATTCTAGTTTTATATTTTTATGTGTTGATTTTTACTATAATCTTAATGCATTTAATTACTTGATCACTAATTAAATGATTTTTTGAATTCTTTACGAGTCGAGAGGTGAGTTTAGGGTTTAGACCAAATAGTAAAATCCGGTACATTGACATAACGTGTAGAGATACCTATGTTAATTATTGCGGTCATAATTGAATTCTTAGAACCAATGTTTTGTTTGATTAACGTCAATTCGCATAGAGATATGGAATTGAATTAGTTAAATAGGCTCAATGAGAACTCGAGAGGGGTAAATTGAATACAATAGAAGAATTCGATCGAACACTACTTTAGATTGTATGAATCTTGATTTAAGGAATAAAGGTGATCAATAGGTGAAGTTGTTCAGTCCTAAGAACCGTTATTATTTGAATTCTCAATCAATTGTGTTTATTTTCCATTCAATTTAATTTCACGTGTTTAAATTAAATAGTGCCAACAAATCAGTAATTTTATTTATTTTTTTATCAAATAAGAGTTAGAAAAATTAAATTAAGTGCTAAAGAATATTTCTCGTGGGGACGATAATCCGGACTCAAATGTCTACTTTACTACTTGTTACGATATCATACACTTGCGATATAAAAAACGCAACAAGTAGCTTATCAACAAATTCAATATTAGAAGATATCAATTCTCTGATACCATATTGAAAGAGAGTAGTAGATGGAGGAAGAAGAAGAGTGAAAAATGGAGGGAAATTTTTTATTCAATTGAGATCGATTTACATCACTTGTATAAATAAAGTTGAGCTACCTTGACAGCTGTAGTATTAACAAACTCATTTACAAACTAACTTGCAAGTTGTATGAAAACTAATCTAACTAACTAAACTAACTTTCTAATAGAGATGGGTTTAACCACGGTCTATAGAAATTATGAAAGAGGTTTTTAACATAAAGCCAAGCAGAGGATGGAGGTGACGATTGGTAAAGCGCATTTCAAGCAGTTGACATACTTTAAAATTGCACTAAGGAGAGGAGAATCACATTGGCTATAGCATATTACTGATGCATTATAAATAATAATTCGATTGATGTGGTTTTATTATGTATTGAAGTCTCCATAAACAAGCCTTTGTAATTCTGTAACTGTTAAGCATGTTTAACTTCTTAAGACTTAGCTAAGCTTCATGTAAATGGTTCCTATTTTTGGTATCCTGTAATTTGAAAATGCAAAATGTTGCAGATTGATTATTTTGGAAAAAATCTTGTGATACATGGTTGGGCGTGAAGCATTGGATCCCATAGAAAAGAACTCCACAATGCAAGGCAGGCAATATTTCTTGAATGGACCAGTATCAGGTGGGAGACCGCCTGAGAAGCCCCATCAAGCGAGCCTCAATCACGCTTATTCTTCTTCGAGGTTTGAGAATTGTTTTAGTTTATCTATGGAAGTAGAAGTTCCGTTATCTTTCGAGAGGGAGTTCTATTACGGTTCTCTCTCATAGTACACTTTCCTCTACAGTGGCCATTTATGTGTCCAGTGGATGACTGCCACTCCAGCTACAGAAGGAAAGATCACTTGACTAGACATTTACTTCAGCATCAACGGAAATGATTTGAATGTCCAGTTGAGGCTTGTAAACAAAGATTTTCATTTCAGGGCAATCTGAAGCGATACATGAAAGAATTCCATGACTCATCTGCTTCTACTAGTGTTGAGGACTCGAAGGAACATGTCTGTCGTGAAATTGGGTATGGAAAGGTTTCAAATATCTCTCCAAATTGCGTGAACAAGAAGAGTCCCATGGCAAGTTCTTAACATTTTGGAATTTCCTCTTCAAGTAATTTATGTTTCGGTTGATGGTTTTGCATTTACCAGTAATATTTTGGAAAATAATAATGCATGAACTATGCTTGGTGAAATTTTTGGTTGAAGGCAGTTAAGTTGGATACAGTAGAGGGCTAGAGGCATTTTGTTCAGAACCAGGCTGTATGAAATATTTTACAAATGAACAGTTCCTCAAGGAGCATATTTGGTTATGCCATCGGCATATTAGTCCGTGAGATATGTGGGACCAAGCAGCTTAAGGGCGTGTTCGATAGAGATTAAAATTGGATTAAAATTGAAAAACTAGCCGTTATTGTTGACTTTTATTAGACAAATGAGATCCAATAATGGTCATATTTTCAATTAAAATTGAATTTTAATTCTGGGCAAAGATGCTCTAAGAAGGACATGAAGTGGCATTTCTGCATGCATGAATCACGGATTTTCTCAGAGAGAATCAAGTCTAGTTTTAACAGGTGTTTGCATACGTTTTCAACTGTATATAAGCAAATAATACCATCTTTGTGAAATCTGTTAACCCCCCAAACTCAACCAGTATAACCTCCCGCTTTCTTCAGTTTCATTTACATTCAACTACTAATGAAACTATAAATAAACACTGAGAAAACTTATAGGTTAAATCCACCAATATTCACTCAACTTGTATATGGTGTCACCTAGTGATGGCAATCGAGCCAAGCGGCTCGTCGGCTCGCCTGCTCGGCTCGTACTGTAGCAGCCCACGAGCTACTCGGGCTCATCTTTTGGCGAGCGGCTAGTCTACGAGCTTACGAACCGCTCAGCTCATGGGCTTGTCTAAGACGAGTCTTAGACGAGCCCACGAGCCGAGCGGCTTGTGGGCTAGTTGTATTTTTAAAAAAATAAAATAAATAAAATAAAAACGAAATTCAGTGACCAAAAATGGTAAGATAACAGCTCTGGTGAGAGACCGGGTCGTTTCAAAAAAATGTACTGTTTGCTCTGGGGTGGGTTTCTGCCTACTAATCCCTTCACGGCTTTCTAACGCGTCCCCAGGATTCGAACTCAAGACCTCCATCATATGTGAGATTTAAGTTGAATTTTGGTACCAATTGAGCAATTTGCCCAATTGGTGCCTGGATTCAACTTAAGTTTCCTATATGATGGAGGTCTTGGATTTGAATTTTGGGGACGCGTCAGAAAGCCGTGAAGGGATTAGTGGGAAAAAGCCCACCCCAAAGCGGACAGTACGCAAGCTAACGGCTTGAGTATAGAGACCTGGGTCATTTCAGTGACCGTTTTGGTCAGTGAAATTATTTATTTATTTATTTATTTTCATTTTTTTCTCTATAAATATCCATCCCCTAATCAACATTTTTTTCCACCAATCCTCTCATTCTCTACTCCACTCTCTACAATTTACAAATTACTAACATTCAAAAATATCAAATTATCAATTCATTTCATTCTATTATTATCTTCATCTTCTACAATTTTTTTACATTATTATCTTGATTTTACTTTTACAATTCATTTTATATACTACTACATAATTTTCATTCACTTCTTAATTCTACATTTCTACATTGTACTTCAAGTCTTCAACATTCAATTTTTATTATTCATAAATGGATTCACGACAATTTGTTGAAAACTTGTTCGGTATGGAAGGCGAAACACCTGCCCAAAATCAATTTGGGAATAAATTTGCCGGTCTCAATGAATTACCAATTCCTGAAAACATTGAAGATTTCGAAGTTCGTAAAGGTAGTCNCCAACAACGACTAGCATGACAAAAAGGCATTGGAACCACCCACCTCAACCGTCACTACAAAACATGTACGGCCAAACATGGGCTTCTTCCAGTTGGTCAAACGCAACTATAATTTGGTACTCCAGGCGCCGGTGCTACTATTACGCCACTTTTTATGTGGATGTATTCGGAGGAGAAAGCTCGAACGGGAATGGTGAAATTCGTTGCCGCGGCGGAGCTGCCACTAGTAATAATGGACAACCAACATTTTGTAAACTATGTCAAACAATATGTTCAACCGAGTTACGTTGGGGTAAGTCGAAATACTCTTCGTTCTAATACAATTGAATATTTTCTTAATGCAAAGAAATTATTGATTGCGGATTTAGAAAAATATGGGGTTGTGATATTTTTAACTTCGGATTTGTGGGAAGGGATTAATAAGAGAGGTTATATAGCTGCAACTGCACACTATAAATGTTTACCCATTAAATGAAAAATATTTTATGATATACTACAAAAATGTTTATATCTCATATATACTATATATTACATAAAACTACACAAAATACTGCTTCCTAAAATTCCTGAAATCATCTTTTTGTAATTGAATCTAAATATGAGCCAATTATTTGTGCCCTTGGCCATTTCCAAAGCCCACAAACGAGCATTACAATTAGAGGCAATTATTTGAAATCGTATATTGGTAGCATGGAGGGTCGAGTTGCAACAATATCTTGGAGGAATGGTGTCTACTGCTGCAACATATAAACAAATGTTGTTTCAGGCTTTGTTCTTCCTAGTTTTGAAGGCCGGAATGCAACATATAAACAAATGTTGTTTCAGGCTTCGTTTTGCTACCATGGCTAGTTACAGCAGCAGACACCATTCTTCCAAGATATTGTTGCAGTAGTTGGCAGAAAAAAAGGGGCATTGGCTCATGTTACTGCCATTGCCAACTTGACCCTCCATGCTACCAATATACGATTTCGGATAATTGCCTCCAATTGTAATGCTCGTTTGTGGGCTTTGGAAATGGCCAAGGGCACAAATAATTGGCTCATATTTAGATTCAATTACAAAAGATGATTTCAGGAATTTTAGGAAGCAGTATTTTGTGTTGTTTTATGTAATATATAGTATATATGATATATAAACATTTTTGTAGTATATCATAAAATATTTTTCATTTAATGGGTAAATATAATTTATTTCCTTTTTTCTGTAGTTCTATAGGCACGATATGATATGTTACGTGCCTTCTAAGGCCCTCCACCTCGTCCATCCACCTTATTTGTCACGTGTTGGCTGAACTGTTCTAGTGTTGCCACGTGGCAGATGAACTAAATCCATGTTGGACGAACTGATTCCATAACTCTGAACTGAAACACTATTGCCCCACCTCATAGAAGAACCGAACTCATCCGCCAGCAACGGCGGATGCAATGGACCGCACCCCGCATTCGTTATGCCTTACAATTCGCCTCGCCACACCTCTACCAAGATCTTTTCTGAGAAGATCTATCCAAAGTCAAGTCCCCGACTGATTGATGGGACGTGTGGCAGGCTCCAAATGGTCAACTCAGTTGCTATGTCAGAAACCATTTAATGCCCACCAACCTATGGATTGACGATTGACGCCTATGAAGGGATGATTCATCTAGGATCTGAAGCCATGTGTCCCCCATCCAACGGTTCTCATCTTCCTTTCTCTAGTATAAATACTTCCACACAATGGTAAGATGGGGATTCCCATTTGGTCAATCTTTGCATTATAGTAATCAATTCTAAAGAATTTCACCATATTTACACACGTTCTCAACCACGTCCCGATGACCACTTCACCGTCGAACATCGCTATCTGGTTAGCTGAAATACTGACTTGATCGTCGGAGTGCTCGCTGCTGCTTCCACCCCCATCGGAAAAGGCCACGAGTGACTAACGGTGTGCTACCATGCGCAGGGAGGAGCTTACGTTGAGTTTTGTTCTGCTGGCCACATGTCGGAACCATTTTTCAAGGTCAACAGAATGGTGCCATAAGTGAGAACGTTACTATAACCATGAGTATCCCCACAAAAGAAAAAGCTTATCGAAATATTTGCTTGATATTCCCTCTTTGAAAAGGAATTTGTTCTTGAAAAAGGACAAACTGTAAGCTATCTTCACTGTTAGGAAGAAGACTGGCAACTCCGAGCCAATGAGTTTCGGCAACGAAGAAGTGAATCCAATGAGAGTAAGAGAGATCTTTGAAGAAGATCATCTGGAATAATGTTACACACCAACGGCTCTATCATCGATACCGTAGGGACGAAAGGTCTGCTGCGCGACTAACTGCTGAAGTGGCTCGCATGGCCACTAACATGAGAAACATCGCGGCCCAAAATGCAGCCTTGTAAGAACTCCTCATACAAGTGCAAAATCAGGGCGGCTTCCAAGCCCAACAAAATCCCCCACAATCAGTTCGGAGAACTGAAGTGGAATCAAATAGGAGGACTAACTCAAGTCAATAGTGGGAAGTTCCGGTTGAAAGGGAAGTGGGAGTAGACACCTCATACACTGTCCCCCAGCTAAAAATGATCGAGTTGGAGAAGACAACTTTTCCCCCGAATACAAGAACGGTCTCAGAGGCCCGCCAGTATGTTTGATCAGATCAGGCAGATGCCTAGAAATAGGGATCAGTCTACCTATCAAACAGCCCGCCCATAAGAGCGTATATAAAGCCAGGAAATTCAGGCCCCTCCGCCTAGAAATTGGCAAGAGGGGCGAAATTTAGTTGATTGGGGAAATCGAAGCGGAACATTTACCAGATGGGAACGATTCCAATGAACCGTGTAGGTCCTACGAGCTTGACGATGACGATGACAACCTTCATTTCTCTAGGGAGCTTCGTAGCTTTCCCATGCCTCAGAACTTTGTTCCTCCTAAAATTCCAAAGTACAAGGAAAAGGGTGACCCAGAGAAACACATCAACAAGTACAAGACATAAATGAGCCTCCGAGGAGCTTCGCCTGCTCTGAAATGCTGGGCCTTCCACTTAACACTTAGTGGCGCAGTCGAAGTATGGTACAGTAGGTTGGAACCTCTAAGCATCAGGAGCTGGCCAGACCCCAAGAAGACATTTCTGAACCAATACTTGTCAAGGAATGAGGGAGAGACGCCAATCCAGCGTTTCTAGGACATGAGGCAAGTGGCAAGGGAGACCCTGAAAAGCTAACTCGCCAGTTTCATTGAAGAAATAACTTATTGCAAGCAAGTCAC